TTTGCTGGTTTAATAAGAATATTTGATAGGATCCTGATTTTTGGAGGAGGAGGTGTAGGTATGAATGGGTTAGTCTGAAACAAGATTTGGTATGTTATAAAGCCTTAAATATAGATCCATGATACAAAAACTACTAGTTTAAGTTCCAAAACTACTAATTTTTAAATATCATTAACTTGGTAATATGTTTCAAATTATATTTATTGTGTATTGTGAACAAAGTCGGCAGGTTTTTAAATTAAGGAACATCAATTTAATGTTTGTTCATTTAATATTAATAATAATTGTAATGTGGTACATGAGCGGGCATATTATTTTATATCATGAGGATGAGGAGGTACATAGCAGTGACTGATGGCCACAAATCTAATTAAATAATAAAAATGCGTCACCAGTATTTATTATTATACAGTATATTCATTATCAAAACTGTATAATAATAGGAAATTAGGATCTAATAAAAACTGCTTTTAAATACTTTATTAAGTAAGTTATTTAAGTTTTATTGTAAATAAAGTGTATACTAACTAAACATTCATTTATTGTCGGAACAGCATTCTTCTTCAATCTGACCCTAAACTCACTCTTATCAAAAACTTCTTCTTTGAAGTGAATAGAGCACAACATTCTATTTGGTTTAGGCTTTAATTGGTCTTTTCCCACAAATTTAGAACAAATTTTGAGATATTGTGGGTCTTTTGGAAACCTATTATAAAAAAAGTTAAGCATTCTAAAAAAAATTCTAAGTGCACTCCTTATACTTACTTATGAAAACTTAAATTAGATATTTTCTTACACTCTTTCACTGAAGAGTTTTTATAATTAATTTTGGCACACTTAGTCATGATTTTTATTCAAATTAATCAAAAAAAAAACACTTATTAAGATAGAAATAACGTCGAAATATTTAAATTTGAACAAAGTTCTGATAGCTCTTTGACAAATATGACATGACCACTAAAAGAGGGGGAAGGGGTGTCGTCTTTTTTGACATATCATCTCCATAGTATTCAAACTCATTGATTAGAAGAGACCCATGAAGTTTTTTGAACTTGCACAGGAGACCGGAGCAAAATCGAAAATCAACTCTTTTTAGTGACACCGTATGGTAAACCTGTGCTTGTGTGTGTATTTTCTGGTCGTCTGCGCAGATCACACTAGAACAGTTTAAAGAAATTCTTTAAACTGTGATACTAGTTGTTTTCTAGTCTCACTCTAGGGTGGTTGCGTTTGCCTCGTCTGTACGCATGATAAAAAATGGCGCCATCAGATTCAAATAAAAAAGTTCTTGGAGATTTTATAGAAATATATAGAGCTTAGTGATCGAGGTTAAATAATTGCTGAATATTGTAGGACCTCTAACTTCTGCCAGTTGCAAGAAATCTCAAAATAACTGATATTTTTTTCGTGCGAAGAAATACCATTCCTTGTGAGTGTATATTTTTTTACTATCATAGGAGTAAACATTGCAAGTTATTTTAGGTATGTTTTGTCTTCCACTCAGAAATAATTCTTAAAATCTATAAGTTCGAATTTTAATTCGTTCATTAAGTTACCATGACTATAATCGTCCTATAAATGCTACGACATAAGGTCGACCTGCGCTGGCTTGCCTGCATAGGTAAACCTCTCCGGTAGACCGTAGCCTTGTATGCTTGTCATAACCAATGAGGTTGAATACTATGGAGATGACATGCCAAAAAAAAAGGACACCCCTTCCCCCTCTCTTAGTGGTCATGTCATAGTTGTCAAAGAGCTGTCAGAACTTTGTTCAAATTTAAATATTTCGACGTTATTTCTATCTTAATAAATGTTTTTTTTTTATTAATTTGTATAAAAATCATGACTAAGTGTGCCAAAATTAATTGTAAAAACTCTTCAGTGAAAGAGCGTAAAAAAATATCTAATTAAAGTTTTCATAAGTATAAGGAGTGTACTTAGAATTTTTTTTAGAATGCTTAACTTTTTTTTATTATAGGTTTCCAAAAGACCCAGAATATTTTAAAATTTGGTCTAAATTTGTGGGAAAAGACCAATTTGAGCCTAAACCGAATAGCATGTTGTGCTTTATTCACTTCAAGGAAGAATTTTTTGATAAGAGTTAGTTTAGGGGCATATTGAAGAAGAATGCTGTTCCGATAATAAATGAATGTTTAGTTAGTATACACTTTATTTACAATAAAACTTCAATAACTAACTTAATAAAGAACATTGGCTTGACTAACTTTATAATAAAGACAAATAACTATATTAAAACTTAGATAACTATAATAAAACTTAAATAACTAACTTTATAATAAAACTTAAAACCAACTATAATCAAACTTAAAAACCAACTTATAATTAAACTTAAAAACCAACTTATAATTACACTTAAGTTACTAACTTTTTAATTAACACATAAGTTAGAATAAAATTTTAAGTATTTAAAAGCGGTTTTTATTGGATCCTAATTTTCTATTATTATACCGTTTTGATAATGAATATACTGTATAATAATAAATACTGGTGATGTATTTTTATTATTTATTTAGTTTTGTGGCCATCACTCACTTCTATGTACCTCCTCATCCTTATGATATAAAATAATATGCCCGCTCATGTACCACATTACAATTATTATTAATATTAAATGAACAAACATTAAATTGATGTTCCTTAATTTAAAAACCTGCCGACTTTGTTCACAATACACAATAAATATAATTTAAAACATATTACGAAGTTAATGATATTTAAAAATTCGTAGTTTTGGAACTTAAACTAGTAGTTTTTGTATCATGGATCTATATTTAAGGCTTTATAACATACCAAATCTTGTTCCAGACTAACCCATCCATACCTACACCTCCTTCTCCAAAAATCAGGATCCTATCAAATATTCTTATTAAACCAGCAAATCAAACCAGTCAGATTGAATTACCTGTACCCCCTACTTATTCTCTAAATATTCCATATGAAGAACCGCTGACTCCAAAGAAACAAAAGATATTACATAAACTCTCCTCTGTCCGGGTAACAAGTGCAAAAAGAAAGCAAAAATTAAAATTGCTAAGACGTCATAAGATACGTTATACTTATTTGAACTATAATTATATATTTTTTGATGTTTTTTAAGTAAATCATATAGTTGGGAACTTATAAGAAACTTCAAAATTAAAATGAAGAATATTCGCATTCTAAGCATTGTCTTATTTTTAATCAGACTTTTTAGTTGTTCTGCATCCCTTTCTCAATGAGACACCTTGTATATAAACTTCCCACTTGAACAATTTTATATTTTTCAAGAATGTACAATACAGGTGTATCAGAAATTAAAGCAAAAAGACAACTTATAACAAAGGTTTAAATTTAATAATGTCAAGTCATCCTTGCACCCTAAAAAAGTACCAATGAAGAAATTATTCCTCCAATGCAACCAAACAGTTATTTTAAGGATAAAATTTTGTGTCAAATGTTATCCACAGCCACAGGGTTTCTTTTTAAATGGCATGACATTCAAAATTTTGGTCAAAACAATTTTCATCATGCACTTTTCTTGGAAATTCACAATGCTTTATTAGGATTAAAAACACCAGTTTCTAGAAACTATTTCACTATAACACTAACATTACTGATCAGAAAAAGTGGTTAAAGTTTTCTTTTTGTAATCACAAATCGCAACTGAATGCCTATTTTTAAAATAAATTATCTCTATAATTTCATTTGTATAGTTGTATGCTGAGCATCTGTGAGATTGTTGTTTATTATACATAGGTACCAATTATAGAAATCTTTAGTAAGTACTTGCTTGCAATTTTAGTAAAATATGTACCTACCCTATATAATTAATTATTTCAAACATAAATAAAACCAACAACTATTATCTGAGTCTTTTTAGTTCCGATTGGTTTTGACAGAGTAGTTTTGATCATGGTTTTCTTTCATCTACTTTTAACCATAAAGTCATACCTAGCTGAATTTTTGGTCTTTTTAAACTTTTGACTGTAGAAGTTCATATTTTTTATGTATGTCATCTGCAGTAGAAAAACCTACATGTTTTACATTTAAAATTAATTAATTGTCCTTTCTACAAACTCGGCTGTATATTTACTGAAATATATTTATTCAGAATATACGTAGTGGTTTGGTTTTTGGTTTGGTAATTTGATGTCATAATTCTCCGCATTGTCAGATTTTGACATTGGCGGCTTTGATCAAGACAAGAGAGTCCTTGAACGAAAAATCGTAGTTCTGGTTTTAGTTTTAAAGCACAAAGAGATTAACAAATCTGATGCACAGTGTTATTCGAACGTTGATTTTCGATCATTATATATGAATACGTCCCTGCTTAGTCAACCATTTAAGCCACGCCCAGTGGGGTCATTTTTAATAAAACTTATCATATGCAAAATAATTGCCTCATGGCATCTCCATTAGTATTATACCTCCATGGTTATAACGAACACGAAGTAACAAAACATGATGACACGATGCATGAGCGCGCACCTGCCTGGCGAGCGTCTGATAGTGGCACCAGTGTTGTTACAATTAATATAATTGTAGAAATCTAGTACAATTTACGACTTTTATTCATTAATATTTTATTTTTTACAAGCATATAAATAAAAAATGCTGTGATTTTCCGGGATAATCCTGGAATTCCGGGAGAGTTGGCAGCCCTAGATTTAACTGATACTCTTTACATAAATATTCTTTTTAGGCCTGTTTAACAGCTGCCTTTTAATTTATTTTGTTATTATTACATATTATGTGGTGCATATTTTAAATTATTTGTCATTTATGATAGCCACATTTGAGTAGTTGAATACCTTTCTCGATTTTCGTTTTATTTTCATTTTAATTTTACTATTTAAGTTGTACTTACATTATTGCAAAGGTATCCAAATAAGAAAAATGTAATATTCTGATATCATATGGGTTTTGAGAAACCCTGATGAGTAAATACAATCTCCAGCGTGTAAATACAATCTCCATCACGAAAATAAAAAACTGGTAACTATTTGTTTTAATTATTTATTTTAATCCATTTTAATGTATACATTTATAATATTTCTTCGGTTTAATTTTAATTGGGCATTTCACAAACAGGAATGAGTAATTCTGCGCACTTAATATCATTCCAATGACCTTTGACAAAAAAGTGAGTAAGTATGGATATACAATACTCGTTACCATACAAGTTATCTGGTTGATTTGAACCCCAGTCGAAGAACGTAATGAATTCAAAGATAGGCAACCATATCCAGTCGTTTGATTTTGCCAGTTTTGTTCCTGATGTCCATAATCCAGATATATTTTGAAAAACTATAAATCAATATTATTACTATTCAGTCAATAAAGTCAATAAAATCTGTAATTTACTACTAAAACAGCCCATTTAACTTAACAAAGGAAACTTTTTCAAAACTGGTGTCTATTACAATGGATACAAAATTAAGCTTGATATTTGTCAAGAAATCAGTATTTTGGGCTGTCTTACTATCAGATGTAACTACTAACAAATATCGTTCGGTCCTATAGTCTATTTTTATGTATGAGAGAGTAATAAAACAGTATTTCTAATGCAAAACTTAGTACGGTAATTTTAAATATTTTTACAGAATAATCTAAATATTTCTTAAAATTGTAATAAATGTACCTGAGCTATTACAAGTTTTGGGTCTTTTATTGGTCTCTTATAAACATAAGCTGTACAGAACAATAGAAAAAGGTTTGGACAGGCCAAAAGCCCTGCGTATTAAAGATTACATAGCCGTATCTTAAGATTATTTTCAATAAGTACCTATTTGCCAATTTTGTTTTATTTTAATTCCAAGAATTTCTTACAGTAATCGAATTATAAGTAGATAAATACCTTCCCAACAAATTTAACCGATAATGCGATTATAGGTTTTCCATTTAGTAAGGAGGTCCAAGTTGTGTATTCTTGACAGTTTACTAAATGTCGTTTAGTTGAAACTTGCAAGGTGCAGTGTGAATTCTAGTGTGATCATGGAAAATTTGGAAGGGCCGCGTAAACGACAAAAAATCGGTCCTTTAACAGTTAATGAAAAAACATTAATATCTAATTGTTTTAAATCATTTACAGACAAATAGTTATGTAAAAGTGTTGATGACACAGTGGAATTAGTTAGTAGTACTCTTGGTATTGGGAAATCTACGATTTACAGAGTTGTTAAAGAAGAGAAATGTGTCGAGTTTCAAACAGCACGTAAAGCTCCAAGAAAACCAAAATTTCAATTAGAAACTCTTTTAAAAGAAAGACTTCGAAGGAAAGTGCATGCGTTCTTCTTTAAATAAGAATTTCCGACAGTAGACAAAGTTCTTGCCACGGTTCGAGATGATAAGGATTACCCTGAAATGAGTCGAAGCACACTATGGAAACTTTTAAAAGAAATAGGTTTTCTATGGAAAAAGCATTCCAGAAAGTCTATTTTAATAGAAAAAAGCGATATTGTAGTATGGAGAAGAAATTACTTAAGGACTATAAAAGAAATAAAAAACCAAAGAAGAAATATATTATATTTAGATGAAACATGGATCAACAAGGGACATAAACCAAATAAATTTTGGCAAGACAAAACTGTTACAAGTCAAAGACAGGCTTTTTTAAATAATTTATCTACTGGTTTAAATCCACCATCAGGAAAGGGGCGCAGACTAATAATAGTACACATCGGTAGTTCAAACGGTTTTGTTAAAGGTGGTTTATTGACTTTTGAATCTACTCGTACCGGTGACTACCATGAGGACATGAATGCTGATGTCTTTAAAGAGTGGTTCGAACAAATTATAGATCTTCTTCCTCAGAACTGTATAATAGTAATGGATAATGCAAGTTATCACTCGAGACTCATAGAAAAAATGCCCACAACCAAGTGGTTAAAAAAAGATTTACAGAATTGGCTAAATTCAAAGAATATTAAGTTTCATCCCGGTTCTGTGAGAAAAGAACTGTATCATTTGTGTTCCCGTCATAAAGAGAAATTCAAAAAATATGAAATTGATGAAATTGCAAAAAATCGTGGGATGACGGTAGTTAGATCACCACCATATCATTGCGAAGTAAACCCGATTGAACTGATATGGGCACAGATAAAGGGAGAAGTTTCAAGAAAAAATAATTCTTTTAAAATTAGTGATGTTGTTTTTGGAGGCTGTAAATAATGTGAAGCCTGAAAACTGGGAAAAGGCAGTAAATCATACGATTAAAGAAGAAGAGAAAATGTGGAAGTTGGACAATATTACTGATGAAATGATCGAGCCACTCATTGTAAATATTGGTCGCGACAGTTCATCTTCTGATTTCGATTCTGATTTGGATTTGTAGGTAAGAAGTAGTTTTTATATTAAAATTATTATTTATGAACGTAACGTTATTTAAAAGTCAAAGTTTAAACCCTTATACCTACATAACCCGTTTGATACAATGTTCTTAACATACCTTGTGGAAAAATAAAACATTTTAGAAAAAATTGCACTTTTTTACCTCCAGCTGTTTAGAAGTATAAGCAGGTTAATTAGGTGAAAATATAAGTGTATACTCGAGGAATAACTTCAAAAAATATTTTAACTGTCGACTAAAAGAAGTGCTACGCCTATGGATTACGAACGCTTTATTATTTTAATACTCTCTCATACACAAAAATAGACTATAAATAAGACATATTTTAAGGGACATACTATTCGTTGTTATCATATGCATATTTCATTATTTTCGTTTTGTTACAAAATTATTTACATATAATAAAAAAGCTAAAATAAATCGACCTATTTCATTGCAACTCAACTCAAAAATTTATAAATCATTAATTATATCACATTTAACTAAATTAGATGTAATTTCACTAAATTAAATGTAATAATTTTTATTTAATTCCCAAACCTAATAATCGTAAGGTGAAAGTGGCAACAGGGCTTTATACCGTTACGTTGTTTATACTAAGCAGACATCGCTTACATCCTGGCTTACACATTTATTCATTGATAAAATAAAGTTGTTTCTGCGTAAAATATTTGTCTTCATCCCCTCTTTTACTCCTCATCTTTTGTCTTTTCACCGCGGACCTATAGATTGAGTGTTATGATTATCGACTCAATCTTGGCATCGTGAATATTATATTATCTCTGTTATCTTTGCTTACTATACATACCTACATGTGATTGTGTATCTGTTAATTGTGCAAATTTAACATGATCGTTTAAGAGTAAACCAAACACCTTAAAAATTTATTATCCCTTATAAGCCTTTATTTTTAGTCCGGTTTTTGTGATTTACTCAGGAAATACCAATCTAGTAGTTTTTAAATGACAGGATTTTCCACCTTTTTTTCTTAAACGTCTCTGTAGAGTGCTGCCTTATTGTTAAACAAATTTAAAGCTCTTTATTCGCGAGAAACATGATATCGCGAAGTATTCCCAGTAGCGGGCTTATAAATACAACTTTATATTAGAAAATTCTTAAAACATTTTTGCTTATATATTTTTCAGATACAATCCACACGACTGACAGGATCATTTTGCTATTATTTTTGAAATACAAATGAAGACTGATGGTATATTGATTCTCAATCTTACCCACATGAAAGAGAGTTCAATATTAAAATAAACCCCACAACTACAAGACATTATATAGCTGCAGATCGAGTACTTCCGGTTTCGGTACTTTCACCGCATTTGTATATCATTATGACCCATGACATGCCCATGGATACTAAAAGTATACAGACGGCACTGTACGCCAACGACACAGGCTGTACAAACTATACGACTCACCGGAAATAGCCAACAGAAGATTGGATATACGAGGTCTGTAAATTAAGTAATGAGATTTTTAAATTTTTTATACAAAAAGAATTACAATTCAATATTGCCACCTTCAAAATAACTTCCTTCTGAGGCCACACAGCACTGGAGACGTTTCTTCCACTCCTCATAGCAGTGCTGGAACTCCGATACTGAAATAACCTTCAGCTGGCCGGTTACAGCCGTTTGAATTTGTTCGACTGTCCCAAAATGATTTTCCTTGAGGTGACTTTTCAACTTTGGGAAGAGAAAAAAGTCACAAGGACTCAAGTCATGAGAATAAGGAGGCTGAGGAGCCACAGGAATGTTTTTACTGGCCAAAAACTCGTTTATTGAAATTGTTTGTGACAAGGAGCATTATCGTCATGCAACACCCACTTATTTTTGATGTTTGGTCTCACACGAATGACCCTTTTTCGAAGTCTTTTAAGAACCTCTCGGTAAAAGTGTTGATTGACCGTTTTACCTTGGGGTACAAACTCTTTGTGGACGATTCCGTAAATATCGAAAAAACAAATCAGCATGCATTTGATCTTTGACTTCGCCATCCTTGCCTTTTTTGGCCTTGGAGAGGTTGAAGTGTGCTACTTCATGCTCTGGTGCTTGGTTTCTGGGTCGTACTCAAACACCCGAGTCTCGTCACCAGTAATGACACGTTCTAAAAAATGGGGGTCATTTTCAATTGAATCCAAAAAGTCAAGGCACCTGATTTTCTTCAGGTCTTGCGAAAGGTTTTTTGGAACCATTTTTGCGCAGATTTTTCTCATTTCCAATTCATTGATCAAAATTTGATAAACGGTGGTGTGAGTCAAATTTAACTCTTCTCCTATCATTCTGACTGTCAACCGACGATCTGAACGCATAAGATTCCGGATTCTGTCGACATTTTCATCGGTTCTTGAAGATGAAGGCCTTCCGCTTCGTGGTTCATCTTCAATCGACTCTCTTCCTTCTGAAAATGCCTTAAACCACCGAAAAATTTGGGCCCTTGACAAAACACTATCTCCGTAGGCTTGCTGAAGTTTTAGAAGAGTTTCCGTTGCACTGTGCCCAAGTCCGAAGCAAAACCTGATAGCACACTGTTGCTCGAAATTGATGTCATTCATTTTTAGAACACAATAGAAAAAATTGTTTCACAAAAACAATCGCTGCGCACAACCAAATGACTCGAGCGAGGTCAAACTCGTACTGAAGGTGGATCACATGTTCCTCTGCCGCCCCACTAAGCCCCGCGCTTCCAGTGTTGCCAGATCAAACACAACGTTACCGGTCTCATTACTTAATTTACAGACCTCGTACACGTCAATAGAAGGTTGATTCCATATCTAGATAAAAACAAGATAAAATTAAATCAAAATAAAACAAGCACGGTAATAACAAAACTAAGAACAAAGATAATGGGAAAACTAAATATTCAAGGGAAAAAAAATAAAACTCACAAACAACGTAAAATATCTGGGTTTTTGGCCAGATAGAGGGCTAATATTCGGCAAGCACGTTAGTAACAGAGTGGCCAAGGCTACTGGGGGCTACGAAGTCTATACCCTAAGCTTCGCGGGAATAGCGCGGTTACTTGGAGCAACAAAATATTACTCCATCAAGTAATCTGGCCAATGACAGAAAGCCACTTCAAAAGACTGCAGGTGATGCAAAACAAATGTATAAGGCTGGAACAGGGGTATGACAGATATTCACGCATCATAGATATGAACATGCAAGCAGATGTACCTCCTATTAAACAATTCATTCTGGAAATCTCAAAGAAATTCTACAAGCTTTGTATTCCGGATGACGCCAACGTGCAGGAAGGCATACTCAACATCAATGCAAACTAAGGTATGTTCCTAGATTGTGGAAAGTAGCTGAAGTTATTATGATCCCCAAACCAGGAAAATCTCTAAACGAAGTTTCGTCATATAGGTCAATATCTCTAGTGCCTATAATATCGAAACTATTTGAAAAAATACTAATAAAAAGACTGAAAATTATCATTGAAGAAAGAAAAATTATTCCAGATTACCAGTTCGGCTTTAGAGAAAACAATTCAACTATAGATCAGGTTCATAGAATCTCAAATGCTATTGAAAAAGCATCAGAAAACAAAGAAGTCTGTTCAGTCATCTTCTTCGATGTTGCGCATGCTTTTGATAAAGTATGGCATGATGACTTAAAACATAAACTCAAAATGCTACTTCCACAGCCATAATTAGAGCTATTGGATTAATACATTTTAGATAGATTCTTTAGAATAAAACAAGATGAAGCATACTCTGATTTGAAAGAAATTAAAGCAGGAGTACCACAGGGAAGCGTCCTGGGACCCACTTTGTATCTACTGTACACTTGTGACATACTTCAACTAGAACAAGACACAATAGCTACATTTGCAGATAATACTGCCATCCTAGCGATAGGCAAAGATCATGAAGAGGCTGCAAATAAACTACAAACATCAGTTAATCAAATATATAAATGGATCAAAAGATGGCGTATTAAACTAAACGAAACCAAATCTATTAATATTAATTTTTCTAACAAAAATGGTCAAAGAATACCAATTAAAATAAATAATGCTCAGGTCCCTTATGTTAACTCGGAAAAATATCTAGGTATTACATTAGATGCAAGACTTCGCTGGGAGGTTCATGTTAAAAAAAAAAGACAAGAGTTAGATATAAAATTCAAGAAAATGTACTGGTTACTTGGTAGGCATTCCAGCTTATCTACACATAACAAAATTCTATTATATAAACAATTTCTTAAATCAATTTGGACCTATGGCATTTAGCTCTGGGGTTGGGCCAGCTACAGTAATATTCTAATAATCCAGAGATTCCAGAATAAAGTATTGAGGAACATTGTCTATGCTCCTTGGTACATTAAAAACAGCGACCTTCATCGAGACCTTTAGAAGGACACTGTTGAGCAGACTATCACCAGATTCGCTAGGACGAACAACGGCTCCACCAACATGTGAACGTTGAGGCGATCCAGCTACTTGACTACACAAACCTGACAAGAAGACTCAAAAGAGTGAAATCTTTTGAGTTAGCTAAGTGATTGTGTTAATAACAAAGCAAAGTATTGTGCGGTTTAGTGTTATACGTTAGTTTAGTGTAATTAAGTTATTAGACCCTAAGGTATACTAGCGAGTAGAACTTTAGTTTTTAAGATTGCAACCCTAGTTAAGTTAAAATAAAATTACTCATTGATCAACTCTTGATCAGATTGTAATATCAATAAACGCCTCTTTTGGAGTATTTTTTCACAAAAAAAATATTACTGTGTGAATCTCATAACAGTACTTTCGTAAGAGTGCTATTACCGTGAAAACGAGGCTTAAGTGACAAAACTATAGAGAGTGACGAGAGCGTAATAATTTGTCAAAGATGGCAAACATTTCGACCAACGACACAAATTTGGCGATAACGGATTCATGACTAAATAGGTTTAGATTTCAAACTTTTATTTAAAAAAAATTCGCGTTACATTTAAAGAAATTAAACCAAATAAACAACTGACGATACAAATTTAAAAATGACAATTTAAAAAATATTTTCTTTAAGCCTTTTAACAAATAAATGAGATAATTGGCTAAGAACGTGATATTTATTTAAAGATTGCGACCATTTTGACAGATCATGACTTAAATTTAACTTTTCATCCCAAAAATAGTCAAGAAATTAAAGTATTTAATAAAATATAAATCTAAAGATTTAGAATAAATTGTGATTTTCATTTATGAAAAAACTGAAAGTAAGCCATAACGCCACATATTAATTGATTTATTTTTGAGAAAGTACTTCGAATTTAACTAAATAGGTACTTACCACCTAATTCCTTTAGCTCATTGTAGAAGTTGGTATTTTCAGTCTCATTTGCTATAGTTAACAACTGCAAATTATTGACCTTGCAGAAATTGATTGCATCGTCAAAATTCATCTGTAAAAACAAAAATAGCGTATGACAATGAGCCAAAAGCAAAACTTTTTGGCAATATAAATTTTAGATAAATAATAACATTTCTAGTCTTAATTCTATGACATAAAATAAGATAAAATTATATTTTTCAGACGACGATGAATTTTAAATTTAAAAATTTTTCGAGATTTGTATTTTATTCATTGTAGTCTTAAAAAGAGCAGTACGTAACAAATGCTCTTGTTGCATAATATACTTTTTTTGTAGTTTTTATTTTAATATGTTACTGAACTGTACAGTCGCGTTTTTTACATTAAAAATCATGATTCCTATACTTTCTTTATCTGTATATAGACAGGAAAGTAAAAATGCATGACTTCCCAGAAAAAGAAAACGATATGTCTTTTAGGGTTCGTCGTATGTATGTAATACTTTGTATACCACATTTCTGCTATAGTTCTCATCTGCTAATATCACCAAATTACATGAGAAACTGATTCAGATCACTTAGGTCACATAAAACTGTCTGTAAGAAAATAAGTCCTCCCTTAGGACAACGGACTGTCGGTTTTATCAGTTCATTCATCATATTTTTCATACCAGAGCGTAAGAAGTTCCTCTTATTTGTTTTTATTTATTTTTATTTATTTATTTTTATTTATTTTTATTTATTTTTATTTATTTATTTTTATTTATTTTTATTTATTTTTATTTATTTTTATTTATTTTTATTTATTTTTATTTATTTTTATTTATTTTTATTTATTTTTATTTATTTTTATTTATTTTTATTTATTTTTATTTATTTTTATTTATTTTTATTTATTTTTATTTATTTTTATTTATTTTTATTTATTTTTATTTATTTTTATTTATTTTTATTTATTTTTATTTATTTTTATTTATTTTTATTTATTTTTATTTATTTTTATTTATTTTTATTTATTTTTATTTATTTTTATTTATTTTTATTTATTTTTATTTATTTTTATTTATTTTTATTTATTTTTATTTATTTTTATTTATTTTTATTTATTTTTATTTATTTTTATTTATTTTTATTTATTTTTATTTATTTTTATTTATTTTTATTTATTTTTATTTATTTTTATTTATTTTTATTTATTTTTATTTATTTTTATTTATTTTTATTTATTTTTATTTATTCTTATTTATTTTTATTTATTTTTATTTATTTTTATTTATTTTTATTTTTATTTATTTTTATTTATTTTTATTTATTTTTATTTATTTTTATTTATTTTTATTTATTTTTATTTATTTTTATTTATTTTTATTTATTTTTATTTATTTTTATTTATTTTTATTTATTTTTATTTATTTTTATTTATTTTTATTTATTTTTATTTATTTTTATTTATTTTTATTTATTTTTATTTATTTTTATTTATTTTTATTTATTTTTATTTATTTTTATTTATTTTTATTTATTTTTATTTATTTTTATTTATTTTTATTTATTTTTATTTATTTTTATTTATTTTTATTTATTTTTATTTATTTTTATTTATTTTTATTTATTTTTATTTTTTTTAATTTATATTTATTTAATTTATTTTTATTTATTTTTTAATTTTTATTTATTTTTATTTATATTTTTTTGTCTTCTTACTTTGTTAACATTTTTTTACGGCGATATCTTGTGTTATTCATTGTAAGTAATCCATTGATGGTTTTTTTTACCTCTTGTATCATCCTAGCTGGTTGCAATAAAAATAAGAGAATATGGAAGTAGTAAGAAAAAATTAAAATTTAAATCTTGTCATCCTAGCTGGTTGCAATAAAAAGGAGAGAATATGGAAGTAGTAAGCAAAAATAAAAAAAAATCAAAATAAAATTTAATTTTTTTTTACCCGGAGGTAGTGGGGTGTAACGGTTGTAACCGTTATTCGTTATTTCGACACAATCACCTCTTACTCAAATGTCATTTGTCGTTTATGCCTTGTGTCAAAAGTTCGTATTTCATTTTAAATTATCTTGGTCATCCGAAGTATTAGATGATTTTTAATATTCTTATTGGCCGTCAGATTTTATAAGGTAAGTTCTAATAAAAATATATTGTTGAAAATATATATTTTGTACAAGGATTTCCTAAATAAATTGTCAAATTTTGAACATAACCTCAATATCATCACTGAATGATACATGCTTATTTTATACAAAATTGTATATTGTTTTTTGGATAATAAGATATTATGCTTTACTATGTTTAAATATGTTAAATAAGATTTTTCCTTTTTATAATAATTATAGTCTCTGTGAAATTATTCATTTAATAGTTTTAAATTGTTCATTAAAGCATTTTATCTAACTCCTATTTCCCTTTTTCCTATGATATCATTTTAACCCTTTTTTAGCATGACTATATCCAGACGGTTTTGGTTCAATCTGAAGACCGTTGTTTGATTCATCTCTAGAAGATCTAGACCAGTGGTCGCCAACCTCTCAGTGTGTTGAGCTAGTTTGTTAATTTTGGAATAAACAGGGAGCTACCCACACGGAAGCCACGTAACGCAACGTAAATGAAATTATCCACAGTTAATTTATTATTATATGTATTTATTTTACTATTTAACTGGTAATACATAATACATAGGTACTAATAATGAACTAATAACAAAATAACTAATATTACTAGTACGTACTTGTTCATAGCTATATTCCTACCTACCAAACGAAGGTCTTTGAAAAATAAACACAAACTTTTATCCAGCCACAACGACATGTCACGTAAGATTTAAAAATAGTTAATAATAACAACAAAAAAGTAACGCACTATCATGAACATGAACATTGAAAAATAAAAAAGCACGTTCAATGAGAAGGCTGACACTCAGACTCATCGATAATGGATTTTAAGATATTTTTTCTGAAATAATAGGAAAATGCTTGGCATCGCTGTTAATTAGGTTTTGTTCTCAAAACTCCAGCTTTTTGATAAATGCTTTTATATCAGAAATCGTTTCCGCTAGTTCTTTGTCTCTGCCCTGAATCTGCAAATTAAGTTCGTTTAATTTCTCTGTAATGTCCACGAGAAAACCAAAATCTCTAAGCCAGATTGAATTTTTTAGTTTTGGAGTTGGTTCATCGCGTTGTTTGAAAAATTGAACTATGCCAGATAGGACATCATTAAAACGTTTCAGCACCAGTCCTCTACTTAACCATCGGACTTTAGAGTGAAGGAGTAGGTTCCCGTATTTACAGTCAACTTCATCGGCCAAGGTTTTGAATAATCTTCTTTGTAACGCTTGAGCTCTAATCTTGTTCACAATTTTTATCACCAGTTTCATAACGTTGTTTAGTTTCAGGAAATTTCCACATAATGCTTGCTGATGGATAATGCAGTGGTAACAGAGAAATTGCAGAAAAGTTTCATCTTTACGACATAACGCCACCAGACCCTTATCACAACCCACCATAGTTGGAGCGCCATCGGTTGTCAAGCCTACCAGTTTCGATATTGGAATTTTCTCGGAAGAAATAATATTTTTTAAATAAGAAAACAACTCCTGTCCAGTAGTGTGTCCTTTCAGTGGAATAAACTTCAAAAGATCTTCTTTAATCGTAAAATCACTAAAAACCATCATGACGAACACGGCTTTCTGAGCAGTGTCAACGACATCTGTTGATTCATCCAGTTGAAATGAAAAATAAACACAGTTATCTAAGTCAGTTTTTAACTGTAAAAGAATATCATTGCTCATTACTTCTACACGTCTCATCACTGTATTAGCAGAAAGTTGCATACATTTTATAACTGAAACTATCTCGTCGTTATTTCTAAAGTTGGCAAATAACGAATCAGCAGCTTCTAAGAACGCCTGTTTTATTATTTCCCCGTCTTCATAAGGTTTCTTTTTTTGCGCAATTATCTGGGACACACTGTACGATGCTTCAGTTGCAGACTTATTTTTGTCGACTGTTCGTAAAAATATTGATTGTTGTCCAATTAACTGCTTTTTTAACTGTTTCAGTTTCTCCTTTCTGGCGGCAGAATGTAGTGGGAATGATTTTTCAAAATTAGAATGTAAAGTTTCATGTCTCTCTCAATATTTCCTTTTTTAGCAACGGAGACCGAAGTATTACATAAAAAAACACACATTTTTATCTTTAACTTCTGTAAAAAAGTATTGTTCTTGCCATTCCGAATGAAAGTGGTATGTCTTTACCTTCTTACAACTGCTTGCCATAATATTATTTTTTGTTGTTCTCTACTAACCCAACCGCTGGACATTGGTTACGCGTTCAGTTTTAAACTAAGCGCAATGTCGCCGCACCGTGCGTATTTATCCCGTTCTAAGCAATCCTGATCGTTCTCGAACACTAACGCGCTGTTCCGGCTGTTCGGTTCTAGCCGATTCTAGCTTGATGGCGTCAGCGGCAGATCGCTCATCGCAACGTTGCCGCTGTTTATGTTTAATATTATGACAATTAGATTTTTTTGTGGAATTTTCGGAAGCTTCTCTGATTTTTGCAGTTTGTATTTTTTAAATTAAAATCGTTGTGAGAGCTACCAGAATTGCCTCCGCGATCTAACGGTAGCTCGCGATCGACAGGTTGGCGACCACTGATCTAGAGAGTTTCAAGTTTAAGTTAGAGAACCAAATATTACGAGATCATTCACGTTGCAGAATTACGAATAAGGATCCCAAATCCCTTTCCTTTGTGGAAGTTGCCTGAGGATATACCATGCAATAACCCAGTTTAACATTCCTTATATTACCTTCATTTACCAAAAGATAAGTGCTTGTTTAATAAATCATCTTAAATTTGAATTTAGTAAAACTATGTGAATTAGAATTTGCTACTACCTTATTTAAAGCATGGTTTAAATATTATTTGTTAGTGGTTAGTGATTTTCTATATTTTTATCACTAATCTAGAGTCAAGTATAGTAAGCTTTAAAATATAGTGGTGCGCAACTTCAAGTTATTTAATAACCTAACCCACGCCCTATCAATTGAGCTCAAACACATTAAACAAGTAGATAGAATAACTAGATATCTCGTTACATTAAGTAGTGCATATACTTACAAACTAAAAACAAAATTACATTCGCAAATAAAAAGTCCCTTGAACATTATGAAGGCCCATAAATACAAAACAACATACTTATACGCGATAACTTCATAATGGTAATTGTTTTTTGATGATACTCATTCATTTGGAGTTACGATTCTTTTTACAAATAAATATAAATTACTCTAATACTTACTTTTACCGAACCTAAAAGATACAATTTTTCATTTACTTCAAATGTGTGGGACCAAAGTTTTGTGTCTGCAAAAATAAAATAGTATATACAATATTTTCAAGCATTAGTTGTCTATTTATTTAACTTACCATTTTTCACAAATGCAATAGTTGTTGTAAAACAAATGAAAGCGCACCAGATTGCTAAGAAAGAATTCATTTTGGCAAATAAAATGAATGTTTATTCGTCTTATATACCTTAACTCTCAATGACTTTTTCATTATCAAACGAAAAAATCGTAAGTAGGTTGTTGAGATATAATTTTTTTAGTCTATTGTGTATTTATAAAATATATATTTTTCACGATTATTAAGCATATTTATAAAATATATATTTTTCACGATTATTAAGCATATTTTTTTAATAATTCCATTAATAATAATTCTGATAAAAAACTATATTTAAGTGCTTTTTGTGAATTTGATTGTCATCGTGTATCAGATAACAAACATAAAAATCCAACTTCAACCGTAAATGAGATTGTAGTGACATATTTCGGTTAATCACATGCGTGTTTAAATGTATGGTTCATATTATGATAGAACTATTAACGTTTATTAATATAATAATAATACTCTCCCTAATTCACCCACTTACGAGTGAATTTTAACCCCAAAAGTTGAACTTGTGCGGGGAATGGGACAACTATTATTATTATTTGCCGTGGCGCTCCGGAGCGACTTACAGATGATTGATGGTGCCATTTGACTTACAGGTGAGGAAAACCCGGAAAACCTCACCCACCAACGGTAATGCATGGCAATTTTATAATCTGCATGTCATATCAACATAAATTGAATTTTTCTTAATACCGCACACATCAAATCCTATACCGAACCACAGATTAACCACAACAGATGCGAAACCCGGCAAAAGATCAAAGGATTTTGAAATAAGATTTCTATGACCTTTAAATGGGTATGGCGTAGGTGTTGCCAATTTTAATTATTTTCAATCAGTCTTACTAAATATGACTTTTTTCTAAACATGCGTTTTGGATGCCAGGGTTGGTTTAGGTAATTAATGTATACTAGCAGCACTAGTATGTTAAAAAATTTGTCGATAGAAGTTTCATTTTTAAACATTTTAAAAGAAAAAGAATATGATTTGTATTAATATTTTCAAAATTTTATTATAAGTAAAAAGTTTTAATACGCAACGAATTATAATGTAAAGGTTTTAAAAATGTATTAAGCGGGCTTTGTTAGCCATAAAATCAACTTAAAGACCTCCGTTTTCCCTTTAATGTGTTGAAATAAATATAATGGCAATTAATGGCCTATTGAAAGTTAACGGGAAATTGCAGGCCTTTTATCATATTAATACTGACTGCTAATAAAGGCCATGTGCCAGGTACAATTCGACAGTGCCTCTTTGACCAGCAGTACTGTTTGAAGTATAAATATAAAACCGAATGCATTCCAATATACCTAGAATATTGTAGACATTTTATTTAATTCAGCTATATAATATATAATAAAGATAAAATGTCTTCTAAAAAATGCATTTTCATAAAATATTCTAAATTAATAACATGTACGAGCAAGAAATTACAATGAATAGTGAGCACCATAAATCCCAAACTGGCCCCATGTCCACTCGTTGAGTATATATCAAGTGATCATCTGTGTCTCCATATATGAACGCGGGACGGAACCCTCCTGGACTATTGGAGGGTTGGGTCTGCGACAGTTAAAAGCCTTTTGACTTTTACTTGGCTCTCACCCATTCATCAACCAACATAATGCTGGGCCACTATTAAAAGGACAAAAGTAGCCTTTTATTTTTTAATCCTCGCATTCATTTTTGCTTCAATTACAGCAAAAGGCCAGCAATATCCCGGCATTTCATTGTTTGTTGGGATACAATATAAACTCATTACTACGAACCCCAGTGATAAAAATCTTTGTAAAAATTGAAATATTGATTATTTTGTCTTAAAAAATTCAGAGATCCTCTTTAGATACTACTTTAAACTGTAGAATAGTTCGAGTTGAAAAAAGATCAACGTTCATAAAAAATCCGTAAAATTTAAAAACTTGAAAAAAATGCGTTTTTTACAAAAAAAAATCATAACTTTTTTGTTTTTCGATAAAAAGGGCTGAAATTTTAGCTGTCTTCTTCTGTTACATCACTATAAAAGAATAATAATTGTTTTCGTGGGTCTTTGAAAAGTATTTATTTTAAGAGCGCTATCCCACTGGCCTAGGTATAAAAGTATATTCCTTGACTACTGATACATGTCAACGAGTTTCGAATTGAAAGATTTAGACATCGAACATCGAAGAAAAAGAACGTGGGGTATGTACGTACCCCACGAGGACAGGTGAAGGTTAAACAAATTATACGAATTATTTCCAAGTGTGGAACAAGGTAAGTAATTTTCTATATTTTTTAAAAACTGCAATATTCCAACTGATAAATGTACTGATAAAAACATTCGGTTGGTGATTTTAAACTTCCAAATAATGATTTGATATCATAACCTTTCAAATGAATAAAAATATTGTTGCTATCTAAAACGAAAGTTGCAGTAGAAAATTGTTCATACATTTACAGCTATGAATTCGAAGACATTTTATAAGTGCCTAGATACCACCACGACGTGTATATTCTTCGTTTCACTCATGATTTATCTACAGAAGAAGACTAGACACAAATACACAATATTTTTGTCCAAAAATGCACACAACGCAAAGCGTCACGACCGGTATTGATTGTCCTGAATGTCACAGAAATGTCATCTCACTTACAGCATTCTAAGCAAGGTTGTCACATAAAAAATTTAAATTTCACGAGTTTTTTAAAGTGTCATGTCATTGATTGTCATTGATAAATGTAAACTATAAACCTTTAAATGGTTTTGTATTATTTTATGTTCAGCGGATTTTAATTATACGTTATTTGTATGTAACGTCTGGGGTAACCACATAATAAAAAATCGAAGTATGTGGAGGTAACTATAAAATGTATGTACATTTTCATTTGACTTAAATTCCAATGTCACATAACATCAGAAAACTTAGGAGCATCGGCAACTTCGCATAATGAAATAACTTTTGTCTTCGGAACTACGCGAGTGGAAACGAGTTGCTACGAGGGACCATTAAATGGGTATGGCCATTTATCTCTCTCTTAATTTTGATGTTCTTTGTCAACTTTCGCATCTGGGTAATCTGTGACCGAACCATGTAATTTAATTAAAAATCCACATGATCTGATCTGCGATTTGAAGCCCGGCAGTCTCGGACCATAAACTTGCCTATAAATGAATATAGGCTTGTAGACTGCTACACCACCGACCCGACTATTTTCTTAAATAATTTAAACAAACTAAATAATTAAACTAAATAACTACATTAACAATATATTTGGTGAAAATGCATTTATTTCAGGGCGGGTTTTGCAGTTATATAGCTCATTTCTTCGTCTGTCAGCCATGGAGGTATAATACTAACGGAGATGCCATGAGGCAATTGTTTTGCATATGATACGTTTTATTAAAAATTACCCTACTGGGCGTGGCTTAAATGGTTGACTAAGCAGGGTCGTATTCAAATATAATTAAAGTCCGTATGCAGAATTACAACTTTTAAATAACTTACTTACCTAAGATTTGTTTCAACATGATCGATTCGAAATTATTTGATGACATTGTGCAATTATGACTATTTACTATTATTTATTAACCGTTTTCCGACCAAGCCAATGCCAAGACCATAAAAGAGATTAATATTATTATATTGTTCTGCCTTCGCCGAAACCGTCCGATATATGATCTGTGTGATCGAAAATCAACGTTACAATAACACTGTGCATCAGATTTGTTAATCTCTTTGTGCTTTAAAACTAAAATCCGAACTACGATTTTTCGTTCAAGGACTCTCTTGTGTTGATCAAAGCTGCCAATGTCAAAATCTGACAATGAGGAGAATTATGACATCAAATTACCAAAGCAAAAACCAAACCACTACGTGAATTGTGAATAAATAAATTTCAGTAAAAATACAGCCGAGTTTGTAGAAAGGACAATGAATTACTTTTAAATGTAAAACATGTTGGTCTTTCTGCTGCAGATGACATACATTAAAAATATGACCCGCTACAGTCAAAAGTTTAAAAAGACCAAAAATTCAGCTAGGTATGACTTTATGGTTAAAAGTAGATGGAAGAAAACCATGATCAAAACTACTCTGTCAAAACCAATCGGAACAAAAAAGACTCACAGAATAGTTTTTGGTTTTATTTATGTTTGAAATAATTAATTATATAGGGTAAGTACATATATTACTAAAATTGCAAGCAAGTACTTACTAAAGATTTCTATAATTGGTACCTATATATAATAAACAACAATCTCACAGATGCACAGCATACAACTATACAAATGGAATTATAGAGATAATTTATTTTAAAAATAGGCATTCAGTTGCGATTTGTGATTACAAAAAGAAAACTTTAACCACTTTTTCTGATCAGTAATGTTAGTGTTATAGTGAAATAGTTTCTAGAAACTGGTGTTTTTAATCCTAATAAAGCATTGTGAATTTCCAAGAAAAGTGCATGATGAAAATTGTTTTGACCAAAATTTTGAATGTCATGCCATTTAGAAAGAAATCCTGTGGCTGTGTAACATTTGATACAAAATCTTATACCAAAAATAACTGTTTGGCTGCATTGGAGGAATAATTTTTTCATTGGTACTTTTTTAGGGTACAAGGATGACTTGACATTACTAAATTTAAACCTTTGTAATAAGTTGTCTTTTTGCTTTAATTTCTGATACACCTGTATTGTACATACTTGAAAAATATAAAATTGTTCAAGTATGAAAAGTTTATGTACAAGGTGTCTCATTGAGAAAGGGATACAGAACAATTGAAGAGTCTGATTAAAAATAAGACTATGTTTAGAATGCGAATATTCTTCATTTTAATTTTGAAGTTCCCAACAAAAGTACCTATATGATTTACTTAAAAAACATCAAAAAATATATAATTATAGTTCAAATAAGTGTAATGTATCTTATGACACCAAAAACTTTTGCCAAATTTGGTAAAATTATAGGTAACTGTTCAGTTTTTCTGTGTCCCATTCTTAATAAGACACTACAAAAAAATATTATTATTTAAAAAAATATTTATTGACCTTTAAACAACACTATTTTGTTGTTTTCATGTCTTATGATAGCAGCTTTATTAACTCTAGTTTTAGTGAGATATGTTAGTCAGATACTAACATATTTATCAAATATGCATTAAA